CATGTTTATAGGTAAAGTAACATGTTTATAGGCAGAGAAAAATTTTACTTTGATTTTGAGAGAAAGTGTCTGCTTCTAGGGTTTGAAATACAGAATAATTTCTCTTTCACCAAAATGAAATGTTTCCTTCATTGAATCTCTTCTACCTGGTCAGAAGCATGGTAGCTAAGAGCACAGGCTCTGGACGTCCACCACCTACAAAGTGTGTGCTAAAGGACACAGCTGACAATATTTTGAAGATTAAATGGCTAAGAATGCATTCAATAAATCTTAGCAATTTTTATTGTCATTGTTTTTTTTAATCTACATTATAGAAAATACTGTAGAGAGTAGATACTATCCTTTTAAGACACAGTGAATGGTTTATGAAGATTAAATGCCAGAATAGACTTTAATTTAGGAAACAAAAATCTGTCTTGGAACCACATTATCCTCAGAAAGATTACAACTTTGACCCTGAGGTTTATTTCATTAAAATAAAAATGTGGATATGTGTGTGGGAATGAGAACATTTAAACATACTCATAGGCTTTCCCTCTTAGATTATTTTTTCTCTTATGGCTCTTACTTTAACCTTTGTCTTCAGCAGTTGCCTTCGTGTTTGTTCTGTTTTGTCTTCTGGGTGATTTTTTGTATAATCTCAGTATATCAGGTCAGAGGGAAAACTCAATGTGTAAGCTGACTGACAATGTTTTGCATTTTCTTTGAGAATATTTACCATAGCATCCTGAATAGTATTAAACTTTTCTTTCAGTCAAGGTACCCAGCACATCAGTCATCCCTCTATTGATTTCTGAATGTTTCTATATTGGAGATTTTCCCAAACTGAACAGTGCCAGGATCATGGACTGTTGAAGAACTATGTTGTGACGAGAGATTTGTGGTCTCTTGTGGGTGTACATTCTAATTGTTGGGGTGGTTTCTTTTTTAAGGGGGCTGTTTGGGGCATAAAAAAGTGTAACTTCATGTTCTCCATGATAGTTTGCCAGCTGGTTTCCAGCCCACCAGATTACTGCTTGTAGTGACACTCATTTCTCTAGGACTCTTGATCTGTGCCAACCCTTAGTGGTACCACTAAGCCTGCTCACACCATTCTGAACTGAGGGCACTGGTGTCCTGAGTGCCTGAAAGGATAGATAAAAATCTAATACCACTTCAAGGGACTTACAGCTACAGTTCTGGTAAAGCTCCGAGTATAAAGAATATATTATTTTACTATGTAAGTGTTATATTATTTTAAGCAGAAAACAGGAGGGCAACTGTATGGTTCTGTTCTGTATTCCTTAACTTTCGAGCCATAAGTAAACCCAGCTTTAAGGAATCTAGGCGTATACAATGTCCCTCTTCTAATCTTTCCAATGCTTCTTTGATCCTTTCTAAAAACACAAGATATTTCATTGTCTCCAACCCTGACCTCTTGTCTGATAATTATTTATTTGGAATATAGAGGTTCTCAAACATATCATGTCAAGAATTTATTTTGTCAGGGGCGCCTGGGTGGCGCAGTCGGTTAAGCGTCCGACTTCAGCCAGGACACGATCTCGCGGTCTGTGAGTTCGAGCCCCGCGTCAGGCTCTGGGCGGATGGCTCAGAGCCTGGAGCCTGTTTCCGATTCTGTGCCTCCCTCTCTCTCTGCCCCTCCCCCGTTCATGCTCTGTCTCTCTCTGTCCCAAAAATAAATAAACGTTGAAAAAGAAAAAAAAAAAAAAGAATTTATTTTGTCATTTCAGATTTCTTTTCAGAATTATCTCTGGTTAATACCATTATTTTTCTTTGCAACTAAACTCAAAGTTTTACTACCACAACTGAGCCTTTCTTTTTCTCCCTATTTCTAGAATGTTAGTAAATATCCACTCCTTTCCCAATCAGTAATATTTCCCTGCTTGATCATTTTATTTTATTTCCTCTGCCACCCTCTTGTTCAGACTCACCTCTTGTTCAGTGTATCTGAACTACTGCAGTAAGTCCGTATCTTGTATTAATCACTTAGAAGCTAAATCTTCTACTACTTCATACTTAGTAGGATGACTTTTAAAAAAAAAAGACAATGGCAAGTGTTGGTGACGATAAGGAAAAATTGGAACCCTCATACATTGCTGACGGGAACGTAAAACAGCATAGCCACTCTGCAGAAGTTTGGCAATTCCTCAGAAGGTTAAATACGTAATTATCATATGACTCAGCAATTCCATTTCTAGGAATTCCACTTCTAAGAGAATTAAAAATGTATGTCCACACAAAAACTTACAAATAGTGAATACCCATGTTCAAAGAACATTATTCACAATAGCCTAAAGGTGGAAGCAACACCAATGTCCATCTACAGATGAGTAGATAAAATGTGGTGTATACATATAATGGAAACTATTCAGCTTTAAAAAGGGAAGAAATTCTGACACATGCTACAACATGGACAAATCTTGAAGACATGCTGAATGAAATAGCCAGTCACAAAAGGGCAAATATACTTCTGCTTATATGAGTTACCTAGAATAATCAGATTCATAGAGACAAAAAGTAGAATTGTGTTTGCCAGGGGCTTGGGAGAGGGGAGACTGGGGAGTTCTTGATTTTTTTTTTTTTTTTGGTATATTTATTTTGAGAGAGAGAGAGAGAAAGTATGCATGAGCATGGGAAGGGCAGAGAAGGAAGGAGAGGGAGAGAATCCCAAGCAGGCTCTGCAATCTCAGTGCAGAGCACAGAGCCTGATGTGGGGCTTGAACTCACAACCTGTGAAATCATGACCTAAGGTAAAACCAAACATTGGATGCTTAACTGAATGAGCCCCCCCAGGCACCCTGGGGAGTTCTTGATTCATGGGCAGAGAGTTTGAGTTCGAGAAGATGAAAAATTTCTAGATAAGGATGGATGGTTGCATAACAACAATAAGACTGCTTAATGCTACAGAACTATACACTTAAAATATGGTTAAAATGCTAAATTTTATGCTGTATATATTTGACCACAATATAAAAAGGCTTGTAAATGAATGTTCATAGCAGCATTATTTATAATAGCTAAAAAGTAGAAATAACCCAAATATCCCTCATGAATAAAGTGTGGTATTCCTAACAGTGGAATATTATTCAGCCATAAACAGGAGTGAAGTACTGATTCACACTAAACATAGATCAACTTGAAAAAATTATGCTAAAAGAAAGAAACCAGACATAAAACAACCCACATTTTGAATGATTTTATTTATTTGAAATATCCAAAAGAAGTAAATACACAGAAACAGAAGGGGGATTAGCTGGAGGATGGATGAACGAGGACTGATTCCTAATGGGTAATGGATTTATTTGGGGAGTGATTAAATTGTTCTTGAATTTGGGTACCTGGGTGGCTCAGTCGGTTAAGCATCCAACTTCAGCTGAGGTCATGATCTCACAGTTTGTGAGTTCAAGCCCCGCATCGGGCTGTATGCTGACAGCTCAGAGCCTGGAGCCTGCTTCGGATTATCTTCCCCTCTCTCTGCCCCTCCCCTGCTCATGCTCTGTCTCTGTCTCTCTCTCTCAAAAATAAATAGACATTTAAATAAATAAAATAAAATAAATAAATAATTCTTGAATTTGATAGTGGCAACAATGGCAACTTTTTGACTGAAACCCACAGAATTGTACACTTTAAAAGAATTTTATGGCATGTGAATTATATCTCAATTTTTAAAAACTCAGTACACAACTTTTATGATGCCTTGTTTCTAAAGAAACAGCATGTCTATAGTCTTGGCTTACTATTTCTAGCTATGGAATTGTGAGAAAATCAAGTGTCCTCCCTTCTTATTATGTAATATAGGGATAATAATAACTACCTCACCAGATGTTTGTGTTAAATGAGATAACATATGTAGTACATCAAGCACAGTGTCTGGCATTTACTAAGAACCCAGTAAATTTACTAGGACCCCTTGGGACATGGGCCTTCAACAGCTTTCAGTACTATTCCACATACTATTCCCAGATATTCCAGAAAATGGCCCAACTCATTTAGCCATTTATCACTAGTCTTTACATTCTGGCTCAAATCTGCCTCTTCATATTCTTCTAATGCTCCTTAATGGAAAGCCATCAGTCAGAATGGGCTTTTTAGTCTCCCTCAATTTGCTGCACTTTTTCTTGAAGCTGTGTCCTTGCCTGAAAACAATGCTCTTTCCCTGTTCATGTCTTTTCTCTTTCACCCTGCCCTTAGAACTCAGGTGACTTTCTTCATGCATTAAACTTTCTCCCTTATTTAAATTCACGGTCATCTCTACTTTCGTAGCATCCAAGATTTTCACTACATGTTAGACTACTGAAGCCTCACTTGGTTATATTTTCAAAGCATGTGTCTTGTTAGGTGATCATATTAAAGTTTATATTCAATCTTTTGACTAATAAAATCCCTGAGCATGGGGACCACATGTTATAATGCTTTTACCTTTTTCATAGCATTTAGCACATTGGCTTGATATAGTATATTCTATATCAACATTTGCTATTTATAAGTTAAGTTAGTGTTGCATCTCAATAAGTTTAAGGCCTTAAATTAATGATTCTCACTCCTGGCAGCCCCTTAGAATTACCTGGGAAATAAAGCTTCATTTTAGCCCAGCACATCAGAATGTCTGCGCATGAGGCCTCAGCTTTTCCTGCAGGTGATACTATTGCAAACAAAGCTGAGAACCATTGGATTCAGTAGATGAAGTAATGAAGCCAGTAGGTCCCAAGACTAATTGATTATCATGATCAAGATATGAGAATTGCTGATTAGGCAGAGGTCCTGGGGGCATTGCAAAGTCCTCTACAAATAACTAGTATTATATTATGGTGCATTTGGGAATTTTCACGGCTTTGAGAAATATCCTCCAGCCCTGAATTTTTTAACAGCCACTGGCTGTTAAAATATCCAGTTATGGACACCTATAACTTTTTAAACTTTACATAATAGCTTTCAGACTAGATGTACTTCTTGTTCCTTTTTGCCAACTTAAAAATACTCAAACTCTGTGTCTTTTCTAGGCTGGCCAACATCATCAGCAGACCCTCTCAAGATTGTCTACTCGCCCTTGCTCCTGTTGAGTTACCACCCTTGGAAGCAGGAGATGGGCTTTGCAGCAGCCAACAGGCCATGATCCAGGAGGAGCAGTAAGGGACAGAACTGCTGGTAAGACACTGGGGACAGTTGGTTCTTGGTTTCTAAGGAATATAAATTTATTCGTAATTTAATAGTCTCTCTTCTAACCTTCAACTCTAAATTTTTCTGTATTCCTTCAAATACCTTAATTATCTATGCTTTGGACATATGGGTTGGATTTTATGACCTATGAATTCCCTGAAGTTTTGTATTGACTTGTATGTTTGTATGTACATATGTGTGTATGTGTATATATAAAATTTTCTGGAGAAAAAGAAGATTTTCATCATATTCTCAGTGTCTTTGAATTTAAAAAGAGCCATTCAAAAATAGCTATAAGCATGGAGAAACATGATATTTATAACCACTTGTCACACTATTTCTCCTCCCCATTTGTACCTCACTTATGGCCACTTTGTCTCAATTTGTTAGGACCAAAAAAAAACCTGATTATTTGTGGTGATTTGCTGACCAGAAAAATGAGCACCTACTAAACCTAGGCAGCCAGTTTTCATGATAATTTAGCTCCACCAAACTATCAGAGAACCAGAGTACACAGTGGCAGATATCAAGAGGGCCTGTGTAATTTTTCACATGATTTTTCTGAAACTATAAATAGAGGTACTGACAGAGAGGGAGATACCAACTACTTTTTTCATCTACACTGATGTTAGTAAAGATCAATTTGTTCTTAATGCCACTGACAGGCTAATGAGTGTCCCAACCTAAAGGTTATTTATCAGACCATCTGTATAGATAAACAAAAGTGAGGAACTGATATTTTTTCCAAAATATTTAAGATGGACATCAGAATGAATTTCATGTATACCTTTGCCTGTACTATAAGTAAGTCAGTTAAAATTTCAGGGGCATTGTTGGAAAGAAAATGGAGGTTAAGTTAAAAAAAAAAAAAAGAATGAGTCTTTTTTTTTTTTTCCTTTTGTAACTCTTTTAGCAGGTAATTCATTTTCAGTTTCACTGAATCTTGTTTATGCATTCAGCATAACAAATCTTCTAAAAGGCCTGTGTAGCTGTAATCTCTGCCCTCACTCTAGACGCCTGAGGATATAAGTATCCACTCTGCCACTTGATACTTCTTAGAGACTGACCTGGTGCTGAGAAATCCTTCCCAGTGTGTCCTCAGTTAAACTCCCATGATTCCTAGATGTTGCCATTTTCAAGACATAAGGCAAGTACATCTGCCTAGATTACCTCTCTGCTCTGGGAATTTTAAGTCACTTCTGTAAGGAAAAGAGAACTCAGCACTACTAACTCTCAGAATGAAAATTTTCCCCTTGCATGCTAATATTTTTAGCGTATTCATTGTCACTGAAAATAGACTTCCTCTTTCCCCTCTCATGCTGGAAAATCTTAGGTAATTATGAATAAAGCATTCTTTGCTTTTCCCCTCCTCCCGAAATGGATGCTTTACCTCTCACTGTGAGGACTGTGGCTACTCATTCTGTACTTGACCTTTACATGAGAACTGAGATGCATTTTGAAGATGGAAGTTTTACTTCTTTTGTAAAATCATAACAGAACTTTCCTCAGAGACAAAGGATAGGTAAGGAAGGAAGTGCAAAGTTTAGGGAAAAATGTAAGAGAAATTACTAACAAGAAAAGAAGAAATTAAAGTATTAGCTATTTGTAAGAGAGAGAGATTTCACAATTAACTCCCAGAAGAGGTCTTCCCTCAAATCCAAAGAAGAATATTATTTTGCATTTAGCTTTTTATAGTGAGATAAGCTTAGCCTAGGAGATATTTTCAGTGGTAAATAAACCTAGGACTTATTTTTAGTAATATTTATTAGCTTTGTGTTCTTGGAGAAATTATTTAACCTCTTTAAGTCCTGTTTTATTTGGCAAGGAGGAAAATAGGTCATAATAATAATGGGATTATATACATATATGGATATATGTGCATATGTAGATAATATATACAGGGCCTGGCGGAAGTAAATTCTAAATTTTATATTAGCAGTTGTTCATTATTATTAATGTTATTAATGTTGCTTTCAGTTTTAAATAATGAATTTAATCAAAATGTATTTCTTGAGCACCTGTCAGGTACCAGGCACTCTTTAGGAACTGGGGTATATTACTGAACAAAAAGGTAAAAGTCCCTGTCCTTGTTTAGCTTAGGATCTAGAGTGGTAGACATAAACAAGATAAATAAATAAAAATGTATAGCACATTAAATACCAAGAGGTGCTAAGCATGAAAAAATTAACACAGGAAAAGAAAATTGGAGAGATGGTGAGGTAGCAATTAAAGATGGAGTAGTCAGGAAAGACCTCATGAGAAGATTATTTTTTGAGTGAAAACCTAAAAAAATAATAAGTATACAAACAGACCATAAAGTCATATGGGGAATAAAAGGGAGAGGAGAAGGTCACAAAGACCTAGAGGAGTATAAAGTTTTCACAGAATGATTCAGACAGAACCAGAGGATTTTACATGGCTAAATCATATATCATCTGTAAGTGATATACCCATATAAGTGATATAGGTAAGAACTTTGGAAGTTCAAGGAATAGCAGGGTCCATCTAGACTAAAACAGTTAGAGGAGGACTTCACAAAGGATGATGGCAGATGGTGGCCTGGATCTTGAAAGATAGGAAGAAATTGGATAGTTGGCACAAGAATACAGACTTTCAGTTATAAGATGAAGAAGGTGTGAGAACCTAATGTATAATATGTTGTCTATAGTTGACAACACTATATCGTATAATTGAAATTTGCTAAGAGAGTAGAAGTGTTTTCACAGGCTCAAAAAGGTAAACTATGTGAGGTGATGAATATGTTCATTAATTTGATGGAGGGTGAATCCTTTCACAATGTATATAAATAGAAAATCATCACATTGTGCACTTTAAAAATAACGCTGAAAGAAAATCTCCAAAGAAGAAGTTCTAATAAAAGTTATTGTTAGACATCACAGTTCCATAGCCCTCACACTATCAGCCATAAAAACAATAATAACAACAACAAACCAAATGGAGAATGACATCCTAGTGGAGAAGTGGAAGAGAAACATAAGATGTTTGAAATAAGGAGTGAAATAAGGATGTTGGCCTTGAGGGCAGGAGGGCTAGGCAAAGGACAAGGGGGAAGAAGGCAATGGGAGGCTATCTGGTATAGAGATGGCAAGTGGTGGGAAAGAAGCTAGAAAAGCAGGTGAGGCCAAATTTTGGAAAGCCCTAAGTCCAGGCTAAAGATTATTACGTGCCATCATACAAATAGCAAGGAGCAATGGAAGCAGGCGAGTAGAAAGATGCATTCAGGTCACTAACAATACAAGTTTAGCAGAGTACGGAGATGGCGGAAGTGGCTGAAGTGATTCAGGAGTGGGTTGAGAACATGGATTGTGATATTAGAGATAGGACTGAAAAAGGAAGATCGATTTGATAGGGAAAATCCTGAGGATTTGATCACTAATTGCCATTAGGAGATACAGAAGAAGAGTCAAAGGTTTCTCTACAGGTTTTAAAGGACCCATTAAGTGTCAGCATTAAAGGGAATAGGGATATTAGGGCATATTGTGCATCTGAATTCATGGTGACTGAGGTGAGATAACCCACTGTAGGTGTCCTTAAAACTACTAAGGATAAAGTCCATGCAATGTTTGACAGGCTGAATTGAATTGCTAAGAGCAACTTTCACTGTGCATTGGAATCCATGTAAATATTAACTTGGCACAAAAAAAATTGCATGAGAATCTGCCTTTTTTCTTTTTACACCGAGCTGGATTAACAGAGAATCATAAAAGTGTTGCTCAAAAGTGGGCCATTAGATACCACCTTAGTCCAATTGGCTAATATTATGGCAGACTAAAAGTTACCCAGACATGACACATGACTTCCTAACGGTCATATCAATGACCGTTAGCTATTGGCAAAACCTGGCCCCAGGTGGCCATATTGAGACCTACTGCACCTCCCTGTCATCTGTAAGAAATGCTAGTGATTTGTATTTTGCCATCTTGTTTGTGGAGAAAGGAGTTAGAAGGTTTGGATTTGCCCATTAGAACTCTCTTGTAGCCATTCTTCTAATATGGACATGTTCACTCTTTCTCACGAAACAGACCCTACTCATTTAGAAGCTTCATTCTTAGTCATCCTCTCCTACCTATCGTCATGGTTGATGTATCCTGATTGAAAAATAAGTCATCTTTCTATTTCATCAATAATTGGAAACAGAACACTTATCTCTAATATTGCATTTTTTTCTGTTTATCTTTCAGAAGAAAAAATCACTTTTCTTATTTCAAACTTAAATCACCTAGACTTGAAAATTAAGACTCCAAGTGTCCTTTCCTTTCAGACCAGTTTTATGAACTGAAACCCATCATCCTTATTCTAACAAACCCAATTGATTTATCCATGGAGTCACAGGACTTTAAAACAAAAATAGATCCTAGACATCATCTAAGGCAGTTGTCTTCAAACGATTACTCTCCTACCCATCTGTTACTGTTTCCTTCTTTTTAATAAAATGTAATTATCTAGCAAGTGTGCAAAAGTGTATTTAAAGAAGGAAAATGTTTATTTTTCTATTTATAGAAATTTTATAGTAGTGCTACAATTCTTTGTTTCTTTACTCTCGCCATTATACATGGCACATTATGATACAAGTCATAACCATGTGAAAGCCTTATCTGGTATATATTTTAAGGCCCAGATTGGTCTCATTGTCTCTATGTCCCAAGAGACTGAATTATAGAAACTATTGACATTCTCATGGGATTCTGCTAAGAACTTTGGCAATCCCTGAATTCACAAATAGCACTGTAGCATTTTTTTATTTGCATTAACGGCTATCCACATGTGACCAGTACTATGTGTTTAGAACGGGTAAGCCATGCTAAAATAGACTACACACTATGAAGGTTATTTTCACCATTCTTGTTTCAGTTTCCCCATCAAACAGTGAAGTATCAGTTGTCTCCATTGATCTCATAGGATATTTAAGCAGAAATGAAAGTCTTGGTGAAGACACTTTGTCTTCTGAAAGAAAGTTGCAATGCAAA